TTTTTTTTTTTTTTTTCTTTTTTTTGGAAAATTGGTTCGGGGTAGTGGAAGAGCTAGTTTGCCCTCACAATCCCTCAAGGGAATAGGTAGATATTGCACTCCGATCAGTAAACATTGATTTCAGATAATCATGGCAAGATCATTACGTGATTTATAGACCATAGTGGCTGCTTTTAATTTCCGTTGAAGATTAAGTTTTTGCCAGCCAAGTCTAACGAAGAGATCATCCGCATTGGTATCATATGAAGAAGAGGTCAAAGTACGCGCAGCGCGATTCTGTAGTTTTTGTAGTTTAATGGAAAGAGATTTATTGCATTTCCCCCATACGACACTACAGTAATCGAAATGAGGTTGAACTAAAGCATTATAGATGTATGGGAGCGTTTCAAAAGAATCAAAAGACCTGCTTCGATTTAAGATGCCAGTGCAGGATGCAATTTTTTGAAAATATGTTCGATATGTACATTCCAAGTTAAGTTTTCATTTATATATATATATAATTTATTTATTAGGCAATCCAAACATTTCCTTCCTTTGCAAATCTGTATCTGCGCTTCCTAAGAAGTTAACTTTTACTTTTTGTTGACTTTTACTGAGGGTGGAGGGGTAGCATGTGAAATCACTTCCGTCCACAGTATACAATTTTCGTCCACATCTGCTATCTCACAATACCTCATTCGATGGGCTTCGCGCATGAATGAGCTAAAAATGGGGGGGCTCAACGTGTTCTGTTCTGCTCTTTTTATATAACAGGCTATCATTGCAACAAGACGAAATGCTAGGAACAACCTAAATTTTAGTTTAAAGTGCTAAAAAACAAGCTCGGTGGTCCCAATTCTTTTTTATCGAATTGTGTTAAGCATGATAAGATGCAACTTTTTGCAAAATTAAAGAAATATTCTGTGGAGAGGGTTCAGAGGCAACTTAAATTTTCGAACAAATTAGGGTGCCTCTGAACCCTCTCAACGGATTTGCAAAAACTAGTGTAATTCCCTTCGTCTTCAATCTCAAATGGTAGTTACTCTTAGTCGTGCATGCCCCTTGGCTTGTATATCGCTGGTGGCAAGGCCTGTGTTCCTTGGAATTGGCAATGTGGGTTGTTTTATCCCGCAAGTAGAAAGATATTCATAATCGTGTATTGTCGCTAATGTTGACAATTGACACTGGTTACTACTCCCATTGCAAGCAACTTTTTCAAAGGCCCCCGTTGTCTCTGAAGTTGGCAGTGGGAGTTTCTCACTTGCCTTGGTGACAGGAAATGTTTTACAGTGATCTGTCTCAAGCGAGCGCATCTCACATGAACGAGGGGTTGAGACTTGTTGGTATTCGTGCTCTGTTAGGAAGTCATAAAAGCACGTCTCTTCGCTATCCCCTCTGCGTTGGCAAGGTTCTTCCTCAGTCTCATTCATCAACAAGGACTGCTTTGGTTTTCTGAAATTGGAAATTGTTCTGAATAAGCGTGTGATACATCTTGATAGGCGAGTTACTTACGTATAGGCTCATAAGTTCTGTTTGTGGTTAAATGAGAGGCTCCATAAGTATGTTTTATCATTCATGTCAGGAAACTATATATATGTTGAACCACAGACGAGAACCATCACTAAATTTTTTTACATCTAAGATCTCAGCCAGCAGTTAAAAAACACGTAAGTAAAACACCATAACCACAGCACGGCAAACGAATGCATAAGAATTGTCATGCTCGCCGCTTGTTTAACCGATATCATTTTGATTGACATTTTTTCTGAGCTTCTAATTTCAATTTGTAAACTCGCAACCTGGCATCTTTAATCTAATGGTTATTTCGGGTTGCCAGCGCCCTTGCTTTTCAAAACTTTACCCATATGACGTTGTTGTCCAGTAACGAACCTGCATGTGAGGTCTTCAAATAAAGCAATACACGGTGGTCTGTGTTTGGGATTGTATCGCCAACACCGCTGCATCGTGTTGTACATCCAGTCTGGACAGGAATTTGGTTTGTGTAACAACTTGTTGTTTTGAATATTGGGCAAAATCTGGGGGGAAAAAATCCAAAAATGCCCACAATAATGACGTAAGAGGAATCATACTCAACCTCTAAATGAGCACAAAGGAGTCAACACTCCAATGAAGTCTTAGCTGATTTAGGCTCGTAAATGGATTGGTCGAAGATTTAAGAGTCATCGTTATGTTTGTCTGAACTGAAGGGATATTTTTCGTGGCAACAATGTTTTGATAAGCGTGGTCTACGAAAATCGACGTTTCTTTATTTCGTCCATTTTAACATCCCTTCTGTTATAGAAAATTTAAGCTAGATTTGTTGAGTACCTGAGTTCAAATGAAAAGTACGAGTTAAAGACGGCAGATCCAAGATGACGGGCTGGCGACATGCCATTGACGTGTTTTTAACGATAGTAGATACCATTTTGTGCACACATTTACATCAAAACGTTTCATTACCATATTAAGTCAAGTTTGCGTTCAAACCCGGTGGCCCATCAGGCTGAGACGGATCTCTAGTTTCCCTCTGGAATGCTAGTCCATCGCAGGGTTACCCCAGTAGTACTGAAATTCCCTGGAACCCATTTATACACTGGGTGGAGAGAGGCACCGGGAGAGAGCCCCTTGCCCCATGACCTCACAGTTACAACAAAACGTCATGAAGTACCAATCAGGTGTCGAATGTAATAAAGACACACAGTTTTAGACAGATTTCAATTAGTTTTCATGGGAAGAGGCCAATGCATAGTGGATCCCTTATTTTTCAAATTTTCACCTGATTAGATTCATCTGGAGAGAGAGTGGAGAGGTTCTTTTCTGCTTTCAAGTCTCACGTAGTGATTGAAACCCTAAACCAAAATTGAAGAT